GGCCGCGGAGCGCTCGGTGCCGCCGCTCGCGTGCGGGGCTCCTGGTTGCCATGGCTCTCCCCTTGGGCCCGCCCGGGACTATTTACCTTTGCCCAGGTTGGGACTTTGGATGGGAGACTTTCCTTATTGCACTGCTTCCTGTTTAGGGCAGTTCTTTCTTTTTAGCTCCATCAAATCTCTGTTAGCAGAGACTTGTTAAGCTCCTTGCAAATTCTCGTATGTTTGGCCTATTTTCTTTTTTTTTTTTTTTCCTTTATTTAATTTCTTTAGCAAAAGACATATGCTTTAAACAGTATGAGTTTTCTTCTTTATTCTCAAATATTCGTTTCTCAAACTAGTGTTCAGTGTGCTTGAGAAGCGGTCTTCAGGAGAACACTTTTGAGGAGGTGTAAATCAACATGTACTTGTATTTTACATATGTTTACCACATGGAAAAGGGGCATGTCCTCGGATAAGAAGGGACACGAGCACACATTTAACCACTTACCTGAAATGGCCCAGAGCAGCATGACAGTATTAATGGGTCCAGCTCGGGGTGCAGGGCTTGGAAGTGTTGGTGGTCTCCAAATGGTGACAGCTCCTTTTGGTTTGCAGTCCCCAGGCTCTTCTGTGGGTCAGGAAGAAAGCACAGAATATTCTTGTTCTTTAGTCAGAATAAGAAACAAAAAATGATGAGGAGCCAGTGAAACCTGAAACTGCTGGGTAGATGGTATGTGAACATGTATGGCAGGGAAATGATCTTCAGCTCCTTTTCGCTCTGGAGGCTCTGTATTGAATCTGTACCATCGCAGCTCTGCAGTAGGTGGCAGAAGGAAAACACTCCTGGTAGTTGAAGTTGCTTTGGTCTGTGGGGGGCAATTGCAATGCTTTTTGTTTCATCTTTCTCTGTTGCTTGCATTTTTTTTTTTTGTACTTGTTTTCCTCTTCCAGCTTTCTATTTTCTTCCCCAGTTTGCTACGGTTGTAGCTATGTCCAACATAAGAGCAGTTGTTCTTGGTAGTGTCACATTAAGACTGCGTGTATATCTGCCCTGCTCTCTATCAAATATTTTTGTTTCTTACCAGTGCTCCAAGTTCAAATTTCAGTAAAAGATCAAAAACTTAGAAAATTAGCACCCTTTAAAAATGGGGGAGGTCTCATTGGGGGCACAGTTTTTTAGCCTCTTGAGAGGAGAAAGCTGCATCCATGCAAGTTCACCAGGGCTTTCTGTTGCCATTGCTGGTCACTTGCCGTGATTACTTACAGCAACATTCTTACGTAAATGAATATTAGTTTGAAGCTAAGGTTTGGGTTGGAGTTTATTCATGCTTAAATGGATTTTTCTGTTCCTGTTAATATTTTGCTTATAGCTTTTGAAACATGATCCGCTGATCGAGAGGGTAGCGCTGATGAAATATCTTTACAGAATGTTCACGTATATGGCTGTGTCTATAACGTAGTGTAGCTTTTAGTCTTTTGAATTTTGTTTGTGTTTTCTCGGAGAGAATAAGGTGGTCTGTCCTGAGTGCCACCTTGTGGTGGTTTCCCAAATTACAGCTATCTTGGTCTTCGAATAACTATTACCCATGAAGAACTTCGAAGAAAATCTAGGTTTAATAAACCTCCAGTAGCAAAATTAGCTTTAAAGGGATTTTCATGAACTTCTGTGCTTAAGATATGATAAACCATTTTTTCCATTCACATTTGTCAGATGGGTAACAAAAGGAATGAATAAAAACTGTGTTGGGTAATACAGTTCTTGACATTATGATTTTTGTTAGTCTGGAAGTAAGATTCTTTTGGATACAAATTTCATGATTGCATTGCCTTAATACTAATTGCTCAGCATCAAAGGAAGTTCATGTTGAAATAGTAGCTTAAAGTGAGTTGTTACCACGTAGTAGCAAGTTTCAAATGATTTTCGTACACCATTGTGAGAGGGAAAAAATGTATATTTATATTTTCACAGCTGAGACTTATCAAAGGTTTTTGTTTCTTTAAGGTTATGAAGCAAAACGGGTCATCAGAGATATTAAATAAACTCTATGATACAGCAATGGACAAGCTAGAGGGAGTGAAGAAGGACTATGATGCATTAAGGAAGCGGTACAATGAGAAGATAGCAAGTCACAATACAGATCTTAGCCGACTAGAACAGGCTGAGGAGGAGAATAGACGACTTCAGAAGCAGATTGACATGTTAATGAAGCAGAGGGACACAGCAATACATTTCCAGCAGCAATATTCCTCCTCCCTCAGAAGGTATAATTGGGTTTTGGGACCTTTCAGATGTGCTCTGAAGACAGCAACCATTCTGTTACAGTTTCTTATTTTCTCTATCACTAATGTTTCCTAGTATTAATGTCTCTTTATTGTATATTATTTTAGTGTGATGGGTAAACTCGCTTTCTCTTATGTAAGATATTTTTAAAAGAGGCTAGAAGGTGTGATGCAGATGTGTAGATGAGGAAATAATGCTTTTTCTTGAGAAAGAGATTTCCAAATTAAGCTGTAGGCATTGTTTGAGGCATTTTAGCCACTATTTAAGTCATGTGAGAGAGGGATATTCTGTCTTCTGAGCTATTTTTATTGTCAGTTGCAAGCATGAGCCAAAAACACAACGGAAGTTTTGTTAACCCTCAGACTTAGTGTTGCAAACGGAATTTAGTGTTCCAAACAGTGAGCTCCTCCATGGGGAAGGAGGAGCACAAAAACCACGCATGTACATATATGTATGTGTATGCGGGTATACATATGTGTTGGTTTACTTACATATGTAGATATGCATTTTTATTAAAATATTAAGTGCGGAAATGCAAATGTTCTGAAGCATGGAACATGTTTTTGTGGCACTTGGATTGCAGCTTCTGAGCTAATCTGCAGTGCTGCAGGTGGGCAGCAAAGTCTGCAGGATGGATGTGCCTCACTTGCCTGTGAAGTCCCTCATTGTACAGCTGCCACCAGCAGCTGAATCAGAGCAGGACAGAGACATTATTTCATACCATATTCAATCTCTGTGCTTCTGCCTCATGCCAGGACTGCATCGTTACCAGTGAGGGGTAGGAGGAACGCTCATATACATAAGGACTCTGAAAAGTGCCTGTGGGTGTTTTGGGAATGTCTTCATGGCTGTAAGTTAGGGATAATTGTGTAGCTCTTACAGCCAAAAGCAAATATTTATTTAAGCATTCATAGACCTCTAGTCCTTTTCAATACCAAAATTGAGCACAGATAATAATATACACATTTATATTATGCATGAAGTTGTAATAAATGTGAATTTAAAAAGATTTCAGAGAGCGTAGTTATGTAACTTAAAAATGGTTCCTGACTGGATTCCTGAAATTGAGGGGAAGTCTAACCTACATGATAAGCTCTAGATCTGTGCTTGAAGCATGACACTCAGAAGCATAACACATGTATTTTCCTGTAGGAAAGCCTTTTCCTGTAGGCTCCCCTTCTTAATCCTCTTAAGAGGAATTAGAATTTTATACTCAGTGCTTTATTTAAATTTTAGTTGTCCTTGGCAGGGGATTTGCATCATGTCCTGACATTTAAATTAGTCTTTTCAAGGTTAATAATTTATAGTTCTGTGAGCCCTCAAGTAGAAATAAAGGTTGTTAAGCAAGATCTGTTCTGCAAGATGATGGTTATGGTTCAGTATTAAACAAACAGTGGTCTTAACAATTTCAAGATAAATATCCTTGTTCCTGTCAGTTATAGATCGAATTGAGGTAGTGTAATTTGGCTTCAGTAACTTGTGCTTTGTTATTTGGTTGACTTTTGGTCTCTCTTTATTGGTGTCCAGTTACAGAAATTCAGTCTGTCTTATGTTTTATATCTCTTCTTCATAACTAAGCATGCATTATTTTGGGTGATTACTAAGTCCAACCTTTTAAAAATGTTTCAGCTCTGTATATTTCTCAAAGTTTACTTTTCATAATGTAAGATGTAATGAACCCGTGACTTAAAGATGAACCAGTGAAAAAAATCAACATTTTTTATTAAGTCGTTTTCCTAAATGCCATGTTATTTTTTTGCTACACTATACTTATCTTTTTATTTCTTTCCTCATGCCTTTTGTTTTGTTTTGTTTGGTAAACATTGCCTTAAATCTCTTTCCCCTTCCGTCTTCCCACATATCTCCTGCTCCATTTCCCAAATAATTTGCAAATGAGGTTGGGTTCCTACATGGCAGCAAGGTTATGTTTCACAAAGTTGATCTCTTAGACTTTGGGTATGTTCTTATGCATCTACTGTAGTATATTCTTATTTTCATGCTCCCATTTCTAAAAAGCAGAAAGAAATACAGCTCGTAACAGCTGAGGTATTCTGTGCTGCCAGCCTGGTAGGTTAGACTGACACATCTCCCACATGGAGCAGGGCAATGCTTTTTGAAAGCCCTGGCAGATGCCTCTGTAAAATGCTATGGCAATACCCTGAGTCCACTGAGGCTCCCGAGGAAATGCTTGAAACTGGGTTTACAGCATGTTCTCAGCATGCTGGATCAACCAAGAGTCATGTCTAAGCTGGGTGAAGTGTGTGTGTGAGGGAGAACTGAATGTGCCAGAGGTTTAGGGGCATTAAATCATGTCATCCATTTAGGTTATCTTCCTGAAGATAGGATTCTTAGGATTTCAGTATGTTCCGCTTCAAAAAAATGGATTTTGGCAGTTTAAAGTATTTCTCAATTAAGTTTTATTGGGTGCCTTGTTGATGGAAATGAACAAGAATGTCAGAATTAACTATTTTAATTCCATCGTTTTTGCACTTATAGCACCTTTTTTCCTTCTCCAGTAACCTGTCCAAACCTTGTGTTTTGTCTGTCTGCTCATATTAAAGTTGTCCTTTGCTTTTTATTTTAAATTCTAGATTTGTTTTCATCCTTTCTTCATATGTTGACATGCAGGGGCAAGTGCCTTTTATGATGCTCAGAGCACAATGCAATAAATCAGGTTGAGGCCATACTTTTAAATGATGTCAGTATTTTGTATTCCTTGCTAAATAATTTAATAGAGATCTACTTTTAATAGCCAAATTCTAAGTTACTTTTTTCTCAGGCAGTTCCTCTTCCTCCACATTTTGCATGTTCAGAGCAATAATCAGTCTATTCTTTTTTTATTCTGCAGCCCTGAGATGTTCTCTGCAGCTGTATGGTGTACCAATGGATAGTTTTGATTGTCCAGCCAAATCCTTACAGTATGAAAAAGGAAAATGGGGAATAAGTATCTTGTTGGCTTTTCTGCTTGTTTTTTAGATTTGAGTCAGTCCAGCAGGAACTAAGCAATGCCACAACACAAAACAAAGAGTTGCAGAGAGAGATGGAGCGACTACAGTCAGAGGTGACCCGGTTCAAAACGATGCAGCTGAAGGCAACGAAGGATGCAGAGAAGTACAAGGAAGAGAGGGACTCGGTTTTCAACGAATACCGCCTCATAATGAGTGAGAGAGATCAAGTCATTAAGGAGGTAGATAAGCTGCAAACGGAGCTGGAGCTTGCAGAGTCCAAGCTGAAGAACACGTCCTCCGAGAAGCGAGTGGCTAGTGAAGAGATGGAAGCTTTAAGACAGGTACTAATGGAGCATTTTGGTGGGGAAGGCACCCACTGACTTCAGAATCAGATGTAAACAGCAAATTCCATGTTTTCCTGAAGCAGTTTTTACTATCAAATATTAAACTTCTCTATTTTAATAGAGTACCCGTCAGATTAAGGTTGCTCCTGCCTTAATTCCGTGCGTTATAAATCCTCCCTTTACTGAGTCAGTCCTTACTGCTTTTTCAAGTAGTGGCCTCTTCAA